GGGCGGCCCGCAGAGCAGCGCCCGCGGGGCCGGGCGCCACCGGCCGCGTTTCCGAAGGGGCCACCGCCCGGAACACACAGCGCGGCCTTCTCTCCCCCAGCTTTCGTCCCTGTTCTTCGGAGCCGTTTCCTCCGAGCGCCGAGCGCGCCGCGCGCAGCCCTGCGAGAGTCTGGCCCGGGCGAGCGACAGCGACGGCGACTGAGCCGGCCGGCCGGGTGCCGCGTCCGTTTAACTTACTCGCAGGCAGAAGTTTCCGTGTAGAAAAGGCCTGCGAGAGTTCTCCAATTCAGGGCACGTTCGCCCCGGAGCCCTCGACTCCGCCAGCTTTGTAAGGCAAACCTTTGGCAGCCATTCGGAGAGCGGCGGGGCGGCTTGAAATAACGGTGATTAGTAGTCAGGTTATCTTCCGTGGCTGACGGCAAACATTCGGATTTTGGTGCTTTTAGAAACAGCAAAGTTATACCACCTTTCCTTGTGTAATGACTTTTTTGGTCCTTTAAAAAAATATATAAAGTAACCCCTGGAAAAAAAGTAAAAAATAAAAATGATCATTAGATTCCTTTGGGTTTTTTTTTTTTTTTTTTGGTACTGGCAACTGAACCGTTGGACTGAGCTATATTCCCAGCCTTTTTTGTCTGTTTTTTGTTTTTGGAGACTAAGTTACTAAATTGTCCATCCTGGGCTTGAACTTATGATCCTACTTCCTCAGCGTCCCAGAGCTGGGATCACAGGCTGTGCCACCACACTTAGCTTGGTCGTTTCATATACTGTAGAATTTTATTTCCTAGCCTCCAATTTTTCTGGTTTCAAGGTAGGATTTTTTATTTTGCAGTGTGATTGCAGTGTGAAAAGACTTTAATGGAAGTGACCAAGTATTTCCCATTATCTGATACAGGAGCAACCTTTACTCAGAGGGCCTGAGTTTAGAGTGGAATGAGATAGAAGACAAATGTCTGTTTTTTGTCGAGAATAGAACTTCTTACCTTATAGACTAAGAAAACCTGGCACAAAACCAATTATGTAGAATGTTATGGTGTGTCTCTTCTCTCCTTCGAACCTGTTTTTTTTTTTTTTTTCTTTCATTTGAGACAGGGTCTCACTATGGGGTTCAGGCTGGCCTTGAGCTGGTTTTGAACTCACAACGATCCTCCTGCCTCAGCCTCCTGAGTGCTGGGATTACAGACATGCACCACCACACCGGGCTTCAAACCTGTTTATAATGCAACAAATGAGTTTTTATTGCTAAGCCTTTGAGAAGCCATCAAACCATAAGGAAATGTTAACTGGCAAGCAATTGTACTTGAGCTTGTATGAGAAACTTTAAAAGGTGGCTGAGTGGATTAGTATGCTTTAGAACTGTGAATTGAAACCAGGATGAATTTGGCTCTTGTAGCTTAGTAGTGAGTCATAGCTACCCACAATAACCTAATAAAAACTCAAGTTCATCCCAAGATGTTCCTCAGTGAATGAAAATGGGCTTTTACCAAGCTATTTGTGGAAACTGGCAATGCCCACATAATTTCAGCTATGTTCTTTCACACTGAGGCCTCAGATATGCACGTCTTAAGCTTACACTGATGATTACCACTGATTGTCTGATATTCCTAGCGAATGCAGATGACTGCAGCGATTGTGTGCACGCGAGAGTAAGCTGAGGTGTCCTTGCTGAGGACGAAGTGTCCGGCTCTGCCGGGGAGACAGGGAGGGCCGAGCGGTGAAGGCGTCACCCTCCGCAGTCGCCTGGCACAGCGCTGGTCTGTAAGAGTTATGGTGCTCAACTCTACACACTCTGCACTGGAGTTCAAATACATCACTCTGTGCCATGGGGAAGGTGCAAAGCCTCAGCTGTGGGAAAACCTCTATTTCACATTTAACTATCAACCCATTTTGATGAATTTATGAGGAAACTAACGGATACAGTGAGGCGGCTGGTGAGAAAGCCATAGCAGTTGAAACAGTAAAGGACAGAAACCGACAGCCGTGAAGCAGTCGCCGTAAGGTTATGAAATGACAGAAACCGACAAACTCAATGTGTCAAGGGCCGAAGTCTTAGTTACTACTGAAACCAAAACACGTGCACAGATTAGTATAAATACTATATTTATTAAATACCTTTACAGTTTATTTAAATGTATTTACAGAACTATTCCTGCATAAGTTAAATTTCTGACATCCAATTCAGGTAACTGCCTCTTGGGTAAGACAAATAATGACAGTCTTAACAGAAAAAAGCAGCTCATTAGTATACACAGATCCAAATTTGCTTCATTATTTAGCCATCTTTGCCTCAAACTACCTGCTAACAGTTAAATTTTGACATGGATACCGTGTTTAGTTGAGAAGTTCAATTTTGCAACCAATTTATTTTTAAAAACAAATACAATCCAAGTGTTTTCTGCTCCATGTTTTATTTTATAAGCAGTTTTTTGGGGGGGCATGGTAAAATTTGCTAAATGCAAGAATGTGACTCAGTTCCTAGAGAAACTGAAAGTGTAGCTTCTATCAGAGATAGCTGGCATAAGGTGACAAGGAACCACGAACACATCCAGAAGTACGAACGTTTACGGTTCTAGCCAATCCTGCCGGCCACTTCCCAAACTCTCAAAACAGACTCAGTCCATTCTCACAGTTCGCGCCTTGTTACTGATGTAGTAGGTTGGCGGTACCGAAGGTGACTTCCATCTGAGGGCTACTCTGTCTAGAACACACACAGCTGACGGGAGCAGGCGCGTTCCCACCCCGCAAAGCTCGCTCAGGTCTGAGTCCCTACTCCAGATGCGGCCCACCCCCGACACGCATGCCCGGAATGGATCTGAGTCGGTACCCGTCACCCACGTCACGCAAGTACAGTACAAATCCAGGACAAGTAACTTGTTTCCCCGTCATTCCTCCTTTCAGTTTCTAAGAGCCTACGGGCTCTGTGTACTTCATCTCCATTTGGTAAATTTATTTGTTTGTGCGCAGGCAGCTTAAGTTCATAGGAAGAAATAAGGTTCTGATATGTTTAGAGTGCACATTTTAAAACAGAACAAAATAAAAATTTCAAGCATGTGATAAAAATATTGATTTTATAATACAGTATTGCTTTATAAATATAGATGGAAAAGCTATAAACTTTACTGGTCTTTGGTGCATCCAGAGAGGGATAAATAATTTGCCATTTGTAAATTAGAAATCCAGATTTTCTCTTTTGTTATAAAAACTCTATTACATGAGCCAGATGTGTGTGTTTACACTGCTTGACTTAAAACACAATTAACACACACACATCGGGTTCAGAACGAGGCCCACCAAGCGGTACAGCTCAGTCACAGCTCACAAGTCTGGCTGTGGGACTTGGAAAATTCTACTCTGCGTCCCACACAGCCTCTGACACCGAGAGGAGGAGAGTTAAACTTTGTTAAGCAGCACTCTGCCCACCCCCTGGCAGTTATAAAACTAAATGCGTAACACGAAAAGGAGAGGGGAAAAAAAAAAAAAGAGAATTTTATGTCACGAACCTACAGGCCCGGTCCAAAGTCCACTCCACTGTGAAACTCAGTTCTTGTCCCATTATTTTCAGTGTCACTGAAACAACCACATCGTTGATTTCTATCATTTCTCAAAAAAGTAAGTTGATTAAATGAGTGTGTATTAATACAGAATATATCCAGAGCGTAAGGCTACTACACACCTCTGACCAAAAATAACTAAAGATCCACAGCTGAAATCATCAGTCCTAGTGTAAACGTATTCCTTTTAACAAACCCTTTCTGGATGCAACTTTCTTTACTTTTTAAATACACAGAGACTGCAAACAGTTTGTGCAAAATAAATACCCCACGGCTTGCCACGCATGCTTTGTGTTCGATCAGAGCACGATGATTTCTCCTTATTGAAACAAAGCCCCCCCGACTCCTCTACCAAAGAATTCGGTTTTGTCAAGTTAGGGTGTTAAGGCATTCTGACACGTAATTAAAGGTGATTCAAAACAGGTACCTAACATTATGCCAATTTAGGAATAGTAGATAAATTACTGAACGGCTTACAAATGAATAACTCATTCTTATTATAAATGAAATGCCTGTTACAAGCATGATGCATTGAAATATAGTAAAGACATGTACATGGTACATGTTAAACAATTTTAAATAAAACAAAAGCTCGACAGTTACTCAAATATACAGTACAATTTCACAAAACAAAATCTTTTAAAACAAGTTGAGGTAACCTCAAACATAAGTTTTAATGCAATAAACCGGGGAGTCAGTATCTCCTTTAGAGAAAAGACTTTTCCGTGTTCTTCTCAAGCAGATGCTCATCGGGTTTAATTGCATTCTCATCTATACACCAATGTTACCTGACTCATATAGAAAACATGGCTTTAAGTTAACATACTCATCTCAGTTACTCTGAGAGTGTGTGTGTGTGTGTGTATATATATATATATTTTTTTTTTTTTTCTACCACCAAGTTAATGAAGGAAAGAACTGACCCAAAAATATATATCTTTACAGCAGTCAACTTGTACACAAACCTTAAAAATAAGTTTGAGCTTGCAGGTAATGGGAAACTGAATGCGGGGTAGTTTTATAAGGAAACTATACACTGCAAATGGCTATTCGGAAACTGTAAACATTAAGCTTGATTCAAAACCCCCTGCGTTTCTGCTGGCGCTAACTGCAATGTCAGATCATCACTAGTTTTCCTCATGGGCTTTGTACGGCGGCCCCTGCGCATGGGGCGCTCGTGCTCGCCAGGCGCCGCCGTGGCTCCGGCGCGTGCTCTAGCAGAGCAAGGCTCCTAAGGGAAGCTCTGAGGCATGGTGGGCAGCAGACCATCCAAGCCAGTGAGCCCGTTAGCTACAGCTGTCTGTTCTCAACCCATCGGGCCTGGGGGCCTAGAGATCCCATCCAGGGCATCCTTTCAGACAGCCGGGAAAACCTTCAGCGATAACAGTCAATTCCAGGCTCTGAGGAGCTCTGTAACCTCGAGTAGTACTTCCACTAAAAATTTTTGGTAAGGTGTCTCCTTCCTTGACCCCTCCTCTACATCAGGCCACCAGCCTGTGACGTGGACTCCTCAGTAAACTGCCAAACTTGAATCACAGGAACACAAGCATCTTTTTAAAAGTACAGAACGTTTGCATCCATAGAACTAAAATTAACTTCCTTCCAATTTGTAACTAAAAATCTCTGGGGATCCAAGTTTCATGACCCAGAGCAGTTTTAGAGCAGAATTATCAACTCCTGGAAAATAGGAGTTTAGACTGAAAACATAATGCCACACCTGATCATCCTAACAAAAGACAGTGCTTGTGGAGTACGTGTGAACATTTCTTTGATGAATGATGTATGTTTTTAGTAGACGTATCATTACGTATGATTCGTGTCAGACTTTTAAAATCCCTTTAACACACTGTAACTTTGAATTCACTTTACCAACATTACTCATTTTCAGTACTTCAACTGCTTTTGAAAAGTAATAGCCTTTGAGAAGTAAAAGGCTTTGAAAATCTCCATGGGAAATGAAGGCCAATCTTCAAATCTTGTACCTCTTCAGTTGTTGCTGGCAGATACAAGCTAGTGAATGATAGTAGTGGTTCTCAACAAAGATCTCAATGGGTCTCCAAAAGACAGGCAAAGGCTTACATCACTGGCCACTGGCATCAGAGGCAGAGAAACGCGGTCCTGCCAGCAGGATCAGCACACGCGGCAGGGACAACTGGGATGACGAGGGACGGCAGGAGCTGGCAGCTGGGCGAGTCAGTCTGTATACTCTGCCACTATTGAGAGGAGGACAGTGATGTCGTCTGGCTTTCCACCTAAAACAAAACAGAAGGCTTATCAAGTATACTTCAAAAGAAAAAGTCAAAAAAGTGGGCCTAACTGAAGACAAATGATTGCATTTCAGGAAGATTTGGTTTGTCAGTATACCCCAGCGGAGGGTACAGGCTGTAGCTCAGTGGCACAAGCACTTGCCTGGCAAGTGTGAGGTCATGAGTTCAATTCCTAGTACCAAACCCCCCCCAAAACAAAAAAAAAAATATACCCCAGCAGAAAAAGAAAAACATGCTATTTTAAAATGTTAAACACCAAGAATTTTCATGTAATTTAATTGAAGTGTCCCCGCTCCTTTATCACAGGAACTCTGAAAATGGCCTACTACAGCCTCTGTTTACATCCATCACAGGAGAGACGCAATCTGCTAAGATAACTTCGGCCTGATGGGAAAGTTACATGCCTCTATCACGATCCTAATTTGGACAAACATATCCAATGTTTTGAAACTAGGAATAGCCCTGTATCCTAATCTGCCAAACAGCTATGGCATGTGCTTTTTTCTATTTTAACATTTCTTGGAGGGCTAAGAAGTGCTCTACATGTCATAATATTACGTCAGCAAGAACCTGACCAAGCCCACTAGCTCTGAGATGCTAGCACCAACATGTCGTCGGGACTGGCCGGCTCCCAGACTCACACCACGCAGCAGACAGAAGGACTCTTCAATCCAGGGCAGTTTCACGTTGCTTCCCTTTTCAAAATCTGCTGTGGCAATTTGGCAGGCAAATACTGTCAATGAGTCCCACAGAGCCAGGGGAAGGGAGAAGCGAAATGTCAGACGCGTGAAGGGCAGAAAGTTAAACCACTAGGAATGTGTGGGCCTCCGCGCGGCGCTGGGGAGGGCGCTAGGGCTCAGGGCCAAGCAGCAATAAAGCCTTCAGGTTCCGCCTCCCCTGCAGCCAATGGAGTGGAGCTCTGAAGGGCCTGGGGGGTGGCGGGCAGAGGGGGAGACGCAGCGGCAGCAGCCCCGCCCTCCCGGCCTTGTTCACAGGCTCGGCTCCTAGCTGGGAGCGGACACCTGCAAGGTCTCAGAGCCCCGAATGCTCCCACTCTGCTGTGTCCCCAGTTAGTTCCTGTGACCTTCCCAAAGAATGCTTACCTCTCACATTCAAGCCGTTGTCACATGCAAACTGTGCAAAAGGTGACATATAATTCGGGTCATAGGCCAGCTCATGAGCTTGCTCAGCAATGCTTCTTGCAGTCTGTTGTATACTCTCATAATTTGAATTCTAAGACGAGAAGGTGAGGAGTTACTTTTCCTGTAATACCTGGTGTGATTTCTGCATTCAAGAGCACTTGCCGATTTCACTTTTGCAGGCAGGAGCCTCTACTTAAGCACACTTTCTGCGCTGAGGCTTTGTTCTAGTTGGAGGGCACTGGTCTCACCGGAGCCCGGGATGCGCCCGCTCTCCTGGGCTGTGACTAACGAGCAGTGCCGCCGCTGCTGCCTGCACACCTGGGTCAGGACACCCAGCGCCCTCGGGCCCTCGGGCCCGGACTTTCATTTTTCTTTTCCACTTGAAACCCTTAAGGTGATCCTGTTAAAGTGGGATGAACTGAAAAGCTGGACTCCAACAGCATGCTCAGGACAACATGATGGTTCCCAGGAACGCACCCTGGCCAACCACCGTTGGCTTCCCACGTCGCTTTTCCTCCTGAGATTGCCTCAGGGTTTCCTATCGTGACGACTCCTGTCTACCGTGTACCTGTGAGCCATGACCCTCGTGCCTGCTGCTCCAACTTCCTCATCTGCAGGATGGGGATGGGACGGGGTCCGTTTTTGTTCTGACATTCAGAGCTTCCAAGTCATTTTAGTCTAGAAGGCCTCTGCTTCAATGTCACCTCATCGAAGAGGTCTTCCCTGAGCAATCGATCGAAAGCACCAGCCCCTGTGCACTCCGTTCCCTTCCTCTGCCTTGTTCTTCCTATCTGCCACCCACATGCGCCACGCATTCACGACTGTCTGATCTGCTCGCCTCCCCTAGTATGTACGCTCCTCGAGGGCAGGGGTGGCGGGTTTCTGCTCGCCGCTGACGGCAGAGCGCAGGCTTCACTGCACTGAGCACCGAACAGTTACTGAACAGCACAAGGCGAGGGGCTAAGGGCTTCCTCCCCAGGGTCCTGGTCACTCCTCTGTGCAACCCTGCAAGGGAAGACCTTCGTCATTCCCCAGTTTATACATGAGGAAACGAACTACGACTTGAACAGCTGAAGAAACTTCCCCAAGGTCAGAGGTTAGGCAGAAGGACTTAGGGAAAAAACCGAGTTTTTCCCAGAGTCAGTACTTGCACAGATCCAGAAGGGGAAGCCTGCTTTTCCCCCTCCTGCCACTCTGCCCGGGGAGAAGTCTGAACAGCTCCCCTCCTGCGGACAGCTCAGCTCGCGTTAAGGCCGCGCCACCTGCTGCCCTTGGCTGGGCCTGGCCTGGCTGTTTCCTGTCTTTCTCCATCCCTGCACCTGCTGGGTGCGCCGTGAGAATGAAACACGAGGAAGACGACCAGGAGCCAACACCAGAGAACCACAAAGACACGTCCTTACCAGGACTTTCCCAGTTTTCACTGCCCTACTAGAAGCTGCTTTCCCTTCCCGTTCTTGGGAATATTTCCACACATAACTGCTTAAGACATCAGAACTACCACTTCCTAAAGTTCATAAAGTAGTTTTCTAAAACTACAGGGAGACAGTGCAAATAACTCCATAAAACTCAGCTGGCCAGAGCCGCCCGCCGTTTCCAAGGACTAGCCTTTGAGTTCATTACCTTTAACTTTTTTAGCTCCTGAAGGATCATATAATCAGGCATGTTGTCGAAGAGTCCATCTGTCGCCGTCAAGATAATGTCTCCCAACTGGACGTCGAAAGAGGTGCTGTCGGCAGCGTCTGGACTGTGACAAGGACAGGGAAGGCAGAGTTCAGAAGCCTTTCACAGACGTGGTTCAGAGGGCCCTCCAGCACCATTTTACAATGCAGTGAGGTTCTGGGTTTTTGGTTTTTTTTTGAGGCAAGGTGCCACTATGTAGCCCAGGCTGGCCTCGAACTCACGGTGATCCTCCTGGCTCAGCCTCCCACATGCTGGGATTACAGGCGTGCGCCACCAGGCCCGGGGCACTGAGGTTTTTAGAAAGAAGTCAATTTTTAAAAAAATTTATTCTGAAATCTCTCATCTTAAGAAAAATTAACTGAAGGTCCTGATATAAAGATTAACTAAAACCACTAAGTAAAACTAAGTCTGCTGATGAGTCATCTGCGGCTTAAAACGGGGAAGGCTCTCTTCTGAGTCAGACCTGTGCTTTTTTTTTTTTTTTTTTTTTTTATTAACGTGCCTTTAAAACCCTAGTGAAGTGACGCTCCTTTTCCCAGCTCTCGGTGCCAGATTCCACCCTCTCTCCTCTGCACTCGTCAGTCCCCTGCATGCGGGGCCCTGGCTCTCGGGAGGGAGTGTTATGGCGAGCAGAGTGCTGGGCACCCCAAGCAGGGCACACTGGTTTTACAGGAATGGATTCTCCTGGGCGCTGGCAGTGGTTCTGGCACTGTAAGGATGGTGGTCTCCCAGGGTTCACAATGTGCTCGTCATGCCTCAGTATTTACTGTGTGCCTGGGATGCAGATCTCCAGGCAGAATGCTGGATGACAGACTGACAGTATCTGACCCGCCAAATTAGATAAAGCTCTCTAATAGGTTGTTAAGTGAGGAAGATACAGTGTTCAGCGTACGCAACTGTTCCTGCTAAATTTAAAAAAGGAGGGGGAAGGGACACGTAGATGTAGACTTCTGAATGCAGAGAATCAACCTGGAGAGATTCATAGAATTTTTCTTTTCTTTTTTTTTTTTTTTTTTTTTTTTTTTTTTTGAGACAGGGTCTCGCTGTGCAGTGCAGGCTGGCCTTGAGCTCACTTTGTAGCCCAGGCTGGTCTCAAACTCCCACTGATCCACCTGCCTCAGCCTCCTGAGGACACCCAGCTGATTCACAGAAATTCTAAGCAGTGACTCCTTCTAGAGAAAGTGTGGCTGGGGGCAGAGAGAGCAGGGAGATGTCTCACTACATTTTTCTTTCTGTATACAACTTTTACAAAAAAACAGAAGAGCCAGGCGCAGTGGCACACACCTGTAATCCCAGCACTTGGGAGGCTAAGTAAGGCAGGAGGATTACCAGAAGTTTGAGGCCAGCCTGAGCTACACAGAGTTCGAGGGCCAGTGTGGCCTATATAGTGAGACTGACACACACACACAAAAAAAAGAAAGAAAAGAAAAAAAAAAATTCAAAGAGAAAGTCTAAAACCAAACAAGAATTGGGAGAAAAGATGATATATGCAGAGTTCATGCCCCCTTCTGGGGCTGATTCGCGGCCGTTTCTGAAGGCCACCTCTATTGCTTCTGGGCCTCTAAGGGGAAGGAAAGATGAGACCTCTAATCTGCCTTAACCTGTAATTAGGGAATAAGAGCCAGGGAAAAAATTCACTGACCTAGAAGGAAGAGGCCAGAATCAAACCACCCCAAGCTTGACAGAAAATCCAACACGGGTGTCAGTAACATGTTATAAAATATGTGAAGACAAAAACACACTGACCCGTGTGGAGGGTTTACCAAATTTTTCAGAATGAGAACATTCTGATTCATCGTCACTTGACATACAACTAAAAGCAGCATACCGAAAGCTGTGACGGGAGTCCGCAGGGGCACTTTCACCTCCACATTTATACAGTAACTGTTTTGTAAAGACAGCTACTAAAGGAAGACACCTAAATGAAGGTTAAAATACCACTTTACAGATAATAGTGCCAATAACCAAGGAAGCACATGCCTTCATGCCAGCTACTAGCTAGGTTAAGGCAGGCTAACTGCAAATTCAAGGTCAGCCCGGGCCATTTAGCAAAGCCTTGTCTCACAATAAAAACTAGAAAGGCCTGGGGATATAGCTCAGTGGCGGAGCGCCTCAGGGGTTGACCCCAAGTATTTAAAAGGAAAAATAAAACCCTACTATATAACTGGTGGGAAGCACGTCAGCTCCTTCTGTGGAAGAAAGAGGCAGCACAAGACACCCTCACCTACTCAGCCTCTGAGACGACGAGCCAGGGTCTAAGAGTGCAGATTCATGAGCGCTGCACTGACGCTCTATTTTATGCTGAGGTTTTTCTTTCTCCAGGAGCGGCCTTTGCTACTCTGCCCGTGAGAGAGCTGCTCCCATTGGACAGGCCTCCCCCGCTAATACTCCCACCCATGAGCTTGGTGTTCTGCCAGCTGCAGTTCTGCCCATTCTGATCGAACATACTGTGCTGCTGGAAACTTTTGACTGCACTGAAACACGAGCTGCGGTCACATGCTAGCACGCCGTCTGTGGGCTCCCAGGGAAGCCACCTTCACCTTGCCGGCTGGCAGGCCTGGAGAGTTCGGCTGTCCCCAAGATAGCATGTGAGATAGGGCAGGGCTGGTCCAGCACTGAGGAGCCGAAACAAGCAGCAGCAAATGAAGGAAAATTAAAAGTACCTTCTCTAAAAACTGTTAGCCAAGGACAGCATCTGATACGGCCTTGAGTTTCAGAGGTCTGCCCATTCCAATATGGCTAATACTACTGTGTATTACAACCAACTAAAGAATAAAATATTCTTCCAGTTTATGGCAATCTGCCTAAATCTGAAAAGTAATAAAACATTTCTTTCTCTTGGAGTCAGCAGTAGACTTTTTTTCTTTTTTGCCAAGACAGGGTCTTGCTATGTAGTTCAGGCTGGCCTTGAACTCGCCATGTAGCCCAAACTACTCACGGCTACCCCCCTGTCTCAGCCTCCTCAGTGCTGGGATTACAGGCATGCGCCACCACGTCCAGCAGCAGACTTTTTAAATAAACAAATATGCTCATTTCAGATTCAGAGATCACAGAAAAAAAATGGTTTTATCTCAGTGTGGACTTCAGACTGACTGAATAAGAGCTAGTAAATAGGAAAGAAAAACAAAACCCAAACAAAAAGGCACTGTCTAGAATGCTACTTTACAAAAGGTTCATTACCCATTGATGAACTGCCAGGGATGTTTATGCCAGATCCTATAAGGCTTTTGGCAGTGAAACCTGAGACTGTCCTAGCGTTACTATGATCTAAGGAAAGATAAACCATGAGGTGAATTCCAAAGTTCCAACTATCTTGGAAGATTCTTAATTATTTAAGAATGAACTGAGGGATGTCAAAAAGATTGAGACCATTTCAATGACACCGTCATAGACCACGTTCAGGATAAGACCACCTCTGACTCTCCTGCAGTTCTACGGGATGCATGTAAGAGAACCCAAGCCAACATGATGGTACACATCTGTAATCCCTGCACTCTGGGAGGCCGAGGCAGGAGGGTTGCAAATCAAGCCCCCCCACCAGGCAACTCTGCAATTTAGCAAAATCCGATCTCAAAATAAAAAATTAAAAGGGCTGGGATGTACTTCAGTGTGAAGGTCTTGGGTTCAATCCCCAGTAGCACGACAAAAACAAACGAACAAAAAATAATAAGGAAAAGAGCGCTGGGGAAATTAGCGAGATAATCCAACCGATAAGACAGGTATCTGCTGGTGGGCTTCCCTAAGAGCGTTCGCGAAACCTTGTATGGGCAGTGATACGCGTGAACAATGACTCCTTTCTCCAGCACAATTTAACAGACACTGCAACACTGCACGTACTGTGTGCTGGTATGAAAGATGGACACACCTGACACAGTAGCTTCAGGCTTGCCAAGTTATTGGGTGTCCATCAGAATTCAACTTGGCTGTACATCTGGGTCAAGCAGACTAGCTTTCAAAGCCTGACTAGAAGGTCCTCTTGACGAGCACACTCCCACCGTGCCTCCTTTCTCACAGGAAGATGGAACGCGCCTATCCCTGTGCACTCACGGGGGTGGGAGAGGACCTGTGGGGGAGCCATATCCTGCTCAAAGCTGGCTGCGGGGGGTTACCTGTCACTCAGTACGACTCCCTCGGCTTCCGGGGGAGCGATTGAGAGCTGGAATGGAGTGTTGAAGTAATGCTGCTGCTCATCTGATCGGTGCACCACTTCGCCACCCCTGACAACTAGGAAGCCGGAATCGCCCAGGTTCGCCGTGTGTAAGCGGTGGCTTGTTCTGTCCAACACCACGATGCAGGCGGTGCTGCTACCTAGAAACAAAACGGATATTCATTCCTTCTTCTCTTCTTCGGTTGGCTCTGCACACACATTTTTATCATATAACTTCAAAACGCAACAGCATATAGCAGGAATCTTTTGCCTAACCAGGACTTTCTTTTTTGATCTTTTTGAGACAGGGTCTTGCTATGCAGTTCAGGCTGGCCTTGAGCTCACTGTAGCCCAGGCTCGTCTCAAACTCACAATGATCCTCCTGCCTCAGCCTCCTGAGTGCTGGGATTACAGGCGTGCGCCACCACGTCTGGTTTAACCAGGACTCTTTTAGTTACGATCCATATCTCTAGATCCATATCCCCATCAATGTCAACAATCTGATCAGGGGAAACACGGTGAGGAGAGAAGGAATTTACAAAGTACACAGTAAGTGAGCCACTGAGGCCTGCATTCTTTTGCAGAGACGGGAGAAGTAAAAACGACTGGCACCTAATCACATGACTTCGTTTCACTTGTGCTATCACCTATGTCAAACCCTCAAAAGCATGCTGCCCCTGAGTTTTAATACTTAAATGTCACAGTAATAATGTTACATTCTCCTGACAGTTCTCATTAGTCATTCTTCTCCAAAAAATTCACTAACATTTTAAGACGGGGCACAATTTCCAGCTGTTGAAGTAATGAATTTTTATTGGAGACCAGTGACTCACTATGAAGTAATAAGACCAACTGTCACTGGTTGCTTGTGGAATCAACCTGCTTTATAGAGAGCAGTGTTCAGAGGGAGGAGCCCTCATCTGAGCCGCTGTCACAGCGGCCGTGTGCGGCTCTCACAGCCTCTCTGGCTGAGACGCTGGCTATGCACAGAGAAGGGGTCACTTCCAACTAAGACTGAAACCTCTACCTACCTCTACCAGGAAAATAGCAACGCAGAAAAACGTGCAGTTCGCCAAGACATAAATATAAATGGCTTGTAATATATGAGAAAGATCAGGGCCGGGATATAGCTCAGCCTGGCAAGCACGAGGTCCTGAGTTCAATTCCCGGTGCCAAAAAAAAAAAAAAGAAAAAGAAAAAGATCATCACATCAGTAACCTTATTAGACAACTCAAGTCAAAAGAAGATAACGCACGATCCTGACAAAAGTGTAGGGAACGTGCTCACTCTTAATCCCAGGGTGAAGAGTAAAATGAGCAAAATAGCCCTGGAGAATGTACTTGTCCTTTGACCTGGCCATTCCACTCAGGAGAATTTATCCTATGAAAATAATTACAGATGCAAGTAAGACACAAGTACAAAAACATTAAGGAAGAACTTGAAACAACCTAAACACGAAGACGAAGGGACCAGGGAAATAAGTTATGGTGCATTCACGTAACACATGTGACCCACAGGGAAGTACAGACTCTGGAGCTGGCACGCCTGTATCTGAGTCCTCACTCTGCCATTTACCAGTTGTGTGACCTGGGGCAAATCTGTTACCTTCTCTGTGCCCGTTTCCTCACTTACAAAATTAGGACTAATAGTAACCAACTCGTACAGTCGTCTCAAAGGTTTAAAATTAGGTAAGTCATGTCAAACACTTAAAACACACAGTATTAGCTATTTAATAGCCATTAAAATTATGTTAAAGAAATACACTTGGAAAGATAAGAGAAACAGGCAACCAATTAGTATTAAAGTTTCCTTTAAAAAAAACTATGGCATTAAAACTTGAAGTTTCCTGTAAACAAAAAGATAAGCAATAATATGCGAGGTCTAACCTGTGCAGCTGACAGTTAAAAAGCAAAGCCAGCAGGCTGCGGAAGCAGCCAGGTGGAGCCCAGCGCACCACCATTTTCTAGCCGTGTGACCTAAGCGAGGAGCTGACCCCTGCTAGACCTGCTTCCTCCTCACAAAGCGGAATGAAGACTCCCGTGGACCTACCTCGCAGGGCTGTTGTGAGCACACGGGGGACTCGATTCCACTTACCAATCCCGTCCACATACAGGTTTGACAGAACGAACCTAGGAGCATAATCACCATAGCACTAATAGTTTTCTTAGTGGGGCTTTGGGTATCTTTGTTATTTGTCTAGTGAAAACATGTATCTTAATGCAGCAAGCTAACAGATGCACATCTTTCTCATCCTTAAATGTTCACAAATTCCCTTCCCTTGTTAGCGGCAGCGTATGCACTGGTGGTGCGAAACTGACACTACTGCTATGCCGCTGGCTTCCTATTCCTTTCTACCAGAGAAAAGAGAAGGTATCAGGTGCCATAACTAGTAGTGCTGCCAGCACCTGTTCCATAGCTCGCAGTAGGGAAAGGGCACCAATCAGCTGTTCATCCTGCTGGACGCACAAAACTCCGACCATTTGTCATTAATATAATTATGTAAAAGACCTTCCGAACACTGACAGAATCAGATCCTGCTGAGAATGAAAAACGCCGGATGAGTAGCAGAGCCTTAAAATTCTGCGGTAGGAAGGGCTCATGTTGACTCATCATGACTCACTGACAAGCCCAGGCTATGATTCTGCTGCCCCTGTGACAGTAACACACTGAGCACCAAAATGGTCTCTGGGAGACTTTAGACCAAAGCACCAGTGACGAACACACACTGCAGAATCGTCAGGCGCATGGTGTATGCTCCTCCTTCGTCTCCTCAAACTGCTGACATGGACACTTGGCTCAGGCCCTGGGAGCCTCATACTGGGAGAAGAGAGCATCATTCTCCTGTCCGCAGAGAAATAAGCAGGCGAAGAACAGTAAGAAAAGAAGTGCTCCTGCTCCTCGGTCTTTGGCTGAGATCGCGTGCAGAACGGAAGTGCTGAGAGCATCAGATGTGCAGATGACCAGTCCCGGCAAACCTCTCCTGCTAAAACGGAAACATTTTTACCATTCAGCCCCGTACTCTGTAAGCTACCAGTAAGCCTTCTGTGCAGCGGAGAAAGGGATCGCCTTATTAGGGCTAAACCTTCCAATTTTAAAGACATCTTGGTTTCTTCATTATCTTATGAATGTACTTTGGGTTTCGAGGGGAAGACGTGCCCACGCTTGGCCCAAAAGCAGCCACACATTTAAAGAAATAAGCAGTACAGCTACTGCCTTGCCCTCTGTGTTTGATTTACTTGGAAGGATTTTTAGCAATTAAAAAATGATTAGTCTTGTAAAGTCAGCATTATTTACAGTTACATCTAACTGAGGTTCAGTAAAACTTAGCAACCTGTCTTTGTCAAAATTTGCTTATGTTTAGTGACAAACAGTCCAGACATGTGGATTAGGACAGGGAGATGTGTTTGTATTAAAGATGGCAACAGAGGATTTTTTTTGGCGGGGGGGGGGGGTGTGTTCATTACACTACTGTACATTTTCTGACTGCAATTTTCAAATATACACAAAATCAAGCAATGCACAAGGCCCTGGGTTTGACCTCAAGCACTGTAAAAAACAAAAAAGCACACAAAGATCAAGCAGGGTTGGAGACACAGCTCCGCGCTGCAGCACGCTAAGGGAGCATGCTTAGGGGGACCCCGAGGCTCCGGGTTCAATCCCTAGCACCACCCAAGTAGTGAAGGCCACCGCTCCCTGAACTGCAGGCCTTCCACAGCTTCCTCTCTGGCGGGACCACGCGTCCTCGCGGCGCCTGTCTGCCCAGCCTCGCTCGGTCCGCGGCAGCCTCTCGATGGATGCGGAAGGTGAAGGAGTGGCACCGCTGGCCATGCGCTAGCGCCTGCTCAGACAATCCTCACAACCCGGGAGCCTGAAGAACGAAGGGCACAGACCCCCGGCGGCACAGCCGCGCCTGCCCTAGCAACAGAGGGTTACTTCAACGTGTCTTTGAGGAGAAAAGGGTATCCAGTGTGTCCTAATATTCAATGAGAGTAAACCTTTACATGTCCTTAAATTCATTAACATTTCCACGGTACAGGAGAGTGGACAGGAAGAGAAGCAGAGGCAGGGGAAAACAGCAAAATACCAAAGCTTTAAAGTGCAAAAAAGGCAGGCTAGGCAGGTGCTTTGTAACCGGCTGTCCAAAGCGAAAGGGAGTGATGCGGGTGGGGAGGTGGCAGTGGCGCCGCAGGAGTCCGCCCCGGAACCGCTCACCATTTCACAGACTGCTAGGGTCACAGGTTAAGCAGTCTGCCCAAAGCCTGATAGAGGGGTACTAGAAACAGCACCCTGAATGCCCTGCCGGGCCAGGTCGTCTCCAGGCTGCATATCTAACGAGGGATACTGAGAAAAGCAGCGTACATTGAGAACCGCAAGACAAGGTTCCTTTTCAGCTATAAAGAAAACTGGTTCATCCCAGCACAGGGAAGACAAGATGGCAGAGTGATAAAAAGAATCCCTTCCAAAGAGGATTTAAGTTAAAGACAAATACACAGCGAGGCAATCTGTCTTAAGATTGAACGGAGGCTGGTTGTACATGTGAATGGCGACTAGGAGGGAGGCCTTCTAGGAACCAGAAAGATGCCGGCAATTAACAGAAATTTAGTGACGCCCTTTCCGAGAGTCAGCTTAGAAGGCTGGGCAGGTTCCCAGGAAACCATTTAACAAACAAATACAGAAGCCTGGCCACAGGCTGCCCCATTAGCATATCTGATAAATAAACAGCGAGGTGTTCAGTTTTAGGCTTTCCAATCCAAGGTATCGGGTCTAACTTGTGTCAAGCTATGTCACGGACCGGACCAATCCACTGCTAGCGGCCTGGGGCGGGTGGTCAGTGCCTTGACCTCTCTGTGGCCCAGACCTGGTCCTGTTCTCCCTCCCCGGAGAGAGCCAGGTTCTGAGACCACAAGTTCGTGCTTTCCTTTCCTCTTTTACCATGTTCCAGAAGCCCCAGACAGGCTATGTTTAACTTTCTATGTTTGTCAATCTGAACTACAGGAGAGTACTTGGCAGGGTCCCCGTTCCCTTCACGAGATGTCCCTGAGTTCTGCAAGCAGCTCGAGTTTGTTTCCTTTCGCTACACACTTTTTACTCTGATGAAATTCTATGTTCTTCCCAGTTTTCTGCTATTATTGACAATGTTTTTTGTTGTTGTTGTTTTTTGGCTTTTTTTTTTTCTTGTCTTTTTGAAACAGGGTCTCGCTGTGTAGTTCAGGCTGGCCTTGAGCTCACTGTGTAGCCCAGGCTGGTCTCGAACTCACAACGATCCTCCTGCCTCAGCCTCCTGAGTGCTGGGATTACAGGCGTGCACCACCACTCCAGGCTATATCGACAATGTTGCTAGAATATTCTTATAGTTAGCTCTTTCTTTAGTCTACTGGAGACACTTAGAGGAGAACTGCTGGGCATGCTGTATGTCGCTGTTTAATTTTATTTAGCAGCACCCAACTGTTTTCCAAAGTGTCTGTGCCTATGTACCCTCCCTCTAGGCAGTATCCTGTATTCTGGTTACCCCGCAGCTCCTCCAAACTCTGCTCACCAGGAAGAGCCTCAGAGAAACGCTGGAATGGCCAATCATTTTCTTGGATTTGTTTTAACTCTACAGGGACTTCTTTAGAGGAAACACACGGCCATGTACTTACCAAGCAAGGGCACTTTATTCTGCAGCAACTCACAGTAGCTGGTGGTGAGGATTCCAATGGGATTACTTGGCACGAACCGTCCTTCTTTTACTAAACGTTCACATGTTCGCATTAAAGTCCCTGAGAACTGAGACGGGTCAACTCCATAGTCTCTCCATCCTCCTACACCATCTGCCACCCCTAAAAAAAAAAATTAAAGAACACTGTCACCAACTTTCTCAAGAATTACCCCATTTCCTCCTCACAGCACTAGTGCATACATTTTCCCCAATTCAAAATAAAAAGTGTTGTTTAATGTATTGTATACTGATTCTCCTAAGTCGCATTCCGCTTTGAAGTCAGCCCATCTTTCATACAGACGAATAAACTTTAGAGCTACCACAGGGTGGCATTGCCTCCCAGCCAAGAGTTCAATTTCAACACGATCACTGCTTTTGTATAAAAGTATGACTTACTGATACTATTGGTTTTGTAAGAAAGACTTTTTTCTAAAGTACTGAGGCTGGTGATAATACAGGCGAGTCTGAGCTGGTGATCATTAAGAACACAAAAGGCAGGGCTGGGGGTATAGCTCAAGACTAGTGTGATACAGCATCCGTGAACCGCTGAGTTCCACTCCCAGAGTATACATGTTAAAAAAAAGAACACCAAAACTAGGAAATACTAAATGCCAGACATGGGTCAATAAATGAAATAAGCTGGGCGTGGTGGTGCACGCCTGTAATCCCAGCGCTCGGGAGGCTGAGGCAGGAGGATTGTTGCAAGTTCCAGGCCAGCCTGGGCTACAAAGTGAGCTCAAGGCCAGCCTGAACTGCAGGGCGAGACCCTGTCTCAAAAAAAAAAAAAAAAAAGAAAAAAGAAAAAAGAAAAGAAAGAAAGAACAAAGTAAAAACATACCCACCCCCTCCCTCCTTCCTCAGAAATGGCCACTATCCTGTCCAGGACGTGCTGCCCAACGCAACAGGCATTCCCGCAGGGGCTGTCTACACTGAGATGTGCTGGAAGTATAAAATACATGCTGGATTTTGAGATGTTAGTATGAAAAAAGTGTAAAACAACTTTTTAAATTTTTGTTGAGGCAGGGTCTTGCTACGTAGTCCAGGCTGGCCTTGAACTCAAGATCCTCCTGCCTCAGCCTCCCACAGGCTGGCATTATAGGTACATACCACTACACCTGGTTTAAAGTGCAAAATTTTCAAACTGGTTACGCAGATAACCTGATATAGGCATGTAAGACTGATCAAATAACTGAATATTAAATGTAATACAACAACCACTGTTGATTTCCTATCACCTTGTTTGAAATTCTCTATCAAAGCCGAGCATGGTGGTGCACACCTGTAATCCCAGCACTCAGGAGGCTGAGGCAGAAGGATCCTTGTGAGTTCGAGGCCAGCCTGAACTGCATAGCAAGATCCTGTCTCAAAAAGATAAAAAAAAAAAAAAAAACTGTATCGTTTTTGTGTTTTGTCTTTGTGTTTGTTAATTTGTTCATGTTCTTTTCTCTTTAAAACAAAATAAAATAATCTTTAAGCACGCACACAAAAAATAAAAAAACTAAAACGGTAAAATTTTATACCAATTACATATTGAAATATTTTGGATTTACACACTAAATAGATACGGTACTGAAATTAATTTCACTTTTTTTTTTTTTTTGTTGTCTTTTTGAGACAGGGTCTCACTACAGTTCAGGCTGGTCTGAAACTTGCAATGATCCTCCTGCCTCAGCCTTTTGAGTGCTGGAATTACAGACATGTACCACTGAGTGCTGGGATTACAGATGTGCGCCACCACAACTGTCTCTCACATTTATTTTTAATGTGAATACTAGGACATGTGAAATTATGTATGTGGCTCACTTTATATTTCTACTGGACAGCACTAGTGCAGAAATTTTCACAGGTCCAAGAGCTGCTGAGTTTGTAGTCTGCTTAAAGGCTTCTTTATCAAGAAGAAACTAGTATTCAATAAAGTCAACAAAACACTGAAGTCGACATCATACAATCTCTTCAACTTACAAAATACCAAGCCAGTTGTTATGTTCCTTTTTTTTTTTTTTTTTTTGGGGGGGGGGTGTCTTACTATGTACCCCAGACTGGCCTTGAACGGGCTATGTAGCCCAGGCTGGACTCAAACAAGATCCTCCTGCCTCAGCCTTCTGAGTGAAATTCTTTTTAACATAAGAAGCAATTTCTGCCTACTGAATTCAGAGAAACTGAGAGAGGATGTCAAATATATATATTATTAAGGTTTTAAATGGTCTTTCTGGAAGGATCTCCAAAAAATATCAACACAATTTCCAGTAGTGCAAGGAAAAAAAATCTTTTAAAAGTTGTTTTGGATACAACAGACTGAAAGCAATCAATGAACAAAAAAAGAATGTATGAACTAGGCTTGGTGGCACATGCCTGTGATCTCAGCATTCAGGAGGCTGAGGCAGGAGGATCACTGCAAGTTCCAGACCAGCCTGGGCTACAAAGTGAGCTCAAGGCCAGCCTGAACTGCATAGCGAGACCCTGTCTCAAAAAGACAAGAAAAAAAAGAATGTCTGCCTTCATATTTATCTATATTTTTACCATTAGCATGTATCATGATTTTATTTTTAAAAATTAAAAAAAAAACGTTTCGCAAGTCTGGTGGTTAAATCCAGGGCCTCATGCATGGTAGGCAAGTGTTCTACCACTAAATTACATCCCTACCAAGAATTTAATAAGGTTTTAAAACTTTCTGCTGGGTGTGGTGGTGCATACCTGTAACCCTAGTACTTGGGAGGCTGAGGCAGAAAGATTCCTGTGAGTTGGACGCCAGCCTGGGCTACAAAGTGAGTTCAAGGGCAGGATAAATTACACAGCAAGACTATGTCTCAACGCCCGCTCCGCCCCCACAAAAAAAGGAAAAAGAAAAGATTTTCTGAGCATGACCACTGTCCCCGTATATTCACATTTTTTGTGTATCAAATTTCATACACATCTTTTAAGATTGTATTTGGCACAAAACTGGTTTAACACAAAATGGATACATGAAATTACTTTTTATGGCGATGGCAGTTACCAAACAGAAACGGAACACATCTTGAAACAGTACAGGACACAGCCTTGGAATACAATAAAGAAGGCGGCAAAGAGTTTATGACCACTCACGCAGCAATGTTCCCCTCCTTGTGACCAACCAGGAAGCAAAATTTCACTCTGGGGAAAGTCCAAACTAGCTGCCTAAATGAGAGCCTGGAACTGACTTCAGAATAACCAGGAAGCAGGGGTGGAAGACGGGGGCAGGGAGGAGACAAGGGGGCCATGAATGGGTCACCGCTGAAGGCGAATGAGAGGTGCATGCATCTATTTTGCTATCTATTTGACTCTTTCCAGCATAAGAAGTTTTAATAACAATAATGGTGATGATGATGCTATGATAACAAAGTTTAAAAAGGAAAAAGTTGGGGCTGGGGATTTAGCTCAGTGGCAAAGCGCGTGCCTGGCAAGCGCAAGGTCGTGAGTTCGGTTCCCGGTACCGGAGAAAAACCAAAAAAAATAAATAAATAAAAAGGAAAAAGTTACTTTGGCCCACTGTGTGAAGAATCTTTTTTTTGTACCAGGAATCGGACTCAGGACCTGGCCCTTGCTAGGAAGGCACTTGTGCGCACAGCTATGTCCCCACGTCCCCCGCCGAAAGCAGAGGCAGGAGGACAGTGAGCGGCCAGCCTCAGTCTGACTCGCTGCCCTGGCCAGCGGCCTGTGGACCTCTGGGGACCAGGAGGCCGTCCCAGGGCTGGGGTTTGGAGGGGAGGGCAAGGGAGGCCCGGGGTGACTACAGATCCGCTCCACCACAAGTGAGGGGCGCAGTGTGCTCTGCTTTTTCCAAGCAGTTGTGGCTAAGTGTGGCAAACCATTAAGAGTGTGTTTCAGGGTAGCTTGTGAGGAAGTCTTTTCAGGAATTCTTATTTCGCTGGGGTTAAGAGTTCACCACAATTTTAAACTCAACAACTTATGTTAAAAGACAATACAATTATAGTCCTTGCAACACCCTCTGACGAACCGTTCCTTCCCTTCAAACAACTCCCTGCTCAAGGGAAGCGTTTCTTCCTAACCAGTCTCTCGCTTAACAGACAGTGAAACCTAACTTGGTGTCATATATAAATGTCCTTCACAAGAACACCATTAAAATCCCAGCTGGCGTTTATAGTCAGTCCTGGCCCTCACTACATAATCTGTCAGCAGGCTGGATCTGACCTGACACAATCCTTCAACGTTCATCAGATTTCTACCAGAAGAGAGCACCACCTTTTGGGCACCTGCTTTGCTTCTGACATGCGCAAAAGGTGCCAGGTAAACTCCACCGGCAAAATCTCTTCAGGAAAAAAGGGAAATTTAAAAGCGCCACACTTTCAAATTAAGCTGTGGAGAGAAAGCATTAGAATACACCGGCACTTGGGGCTGGGGATTTAGCTCAGCGGCACAGCGCCTGCCTGGCAAGTGCAAGGTCGTGAGTTCCATTCCTGGTACGGGAAGAAAAAACAAAAAAACAAAAACAAAACAAAACCAAAAAAACCAGAATACACCGGCAGTTTACTTACGGAGGCCAAGTGCTATCATGGGAAGAGTCCTATTCCAGACCAGAACCAGGATAAAAGCCGAACCACCGGTACACGGCATCAAGTGTCTACGTGATGCCAGGTTCTGGCCATACTCAGTGTCTTTCCACGCGGAAATCAGCGTGTCCTCTCTTGCATAAACAAAAGCCTTAGACCACAAAGAGCAAGAACATCTTTACACAGAGCTGATCTACATATGAAGCAAATTTCACTCAGAATATATTTCAAAGGTAAAACAATTTTTAAAGAAGAAACTGCTTAAGAGTTCAAAAATGTCAGTACAGTACTACCTGACACCGAGCGATAGGGCTGCTCCCCAGAGCAAGCGGCGACAACACACGTGTCCCCACACAGCGCGTGCTGCGGCAGGGACCAGAGCGGGACTCCCAGCCTGCCTGGGCTGCTGCGACTGCTCACCTGGAATGGCCAACAGCCCCCCTAAGTGCCACCACGGGAGGGTCAGGACAGGCGCGGGCAGGGACGCTCCCCCGAGAAGCGGCATACAGAGCCCGGAGGGTCGGATTTCCACAGGCAGGAAGGGTAATGAGAGGGAACGAATGGCAGATTACTCGGTGTGGCGGGGGTGAGC